CATTAATGAGACTGTGATATGAATAAATTAAAACATTAGCCAAGGATATAAGCTTCTTTTGAGAATAGGACTTCAAATTTCTTCGAACATCCAGAAAGTTTACCTCATAATCATCGTCATCTTCCTCATCCTCATCTGATTTTGCCATTAGAGCAAAGATGGAATCATATTCAGCTGCTTTACTTTCTACAGCCATCATAGAGCTATCACCTTGATCACCATCATCTCCAGATTCGTTGGAGGAGTCTACCCATGCAGCAAGAGCTTGTTTCACAACATTGTCAGCGACATCTTTTCTCTTGAATTTTTTGTCAAGAACCTGGCTTCTTTTGCCTCCTTTGTGTGTGTTGTGCTTGTACTGGTCTTGCTTATGGAGTAATCCTGGATGAAGTATCCTAGATTCCCGCATTTATAACATAGGTCATACCCTCTTGGCTTGCTTGAACTGCCCCTCTTTGGAATACCTCCATTTCTGTGAACCATTTTCTGAAATCTCTTTGTTAGATAGGCCATATCAGCATCCTCACCACTTGAGTCATGTTGTCTGTCTTGAGGACCAAGTTCTTCTCCCTTTTAGGCTCTCTTCACTCATTGTCCTTATTCTTCTTCATTTCATAAGTTTTCAGATTACCAATGAGTTTATCAATGGTCAGCTTCTGCAAGTCCTTTGCCTCTGTGATGGCGTTTACCTTGCTTTCCCAGGAAAACGGTAATACACTAAGTATTTTCTTGACAAGTTTGTTCCTGGGAATGATTTCTCCCAGAGAGTGAAGCTCATTGATGATAGAGGTGAAACGAGTGTGCATGTCCTGAATGGACTCGTCGTCCTTCATTCTGAAGAGCTCATACTCAATTGTTAACATGTCAATCTTCGACTGCTTTACTTGAGTTGTCCCTTCGTGTGTTGTTTGGAGAGCTTCCCAGATCTCCTTAGCGGATTGACAAGCTGAGATCATGTTATATTCATCTGGTCCAATACCACAGACGAGATTCTTTTTTGCTCGAAAATTTTTCTCATAGCCATGCGGTCGGTATCATTGAACTCCTTTCTTGTATTAGGAACTGTTACTGTAGGCTCACCAATGGTTTTCGTAGGAATAAAGGGGCCATTGCAGATAACAACCCATAGTTCTAAATCTTCAGCCATGATGAAATCATGCATCTATGTCTTCCACCATCCATAGTATTGGCCGTTGAGTCTTGGTGGTCTATATGTTGATTGTCCTTCCTTGAAGTTTGGTGGAGCAGCCATAAGTATCCTTTCTAGGTGTTAACCTTTTAGAAAGAACCTGCTCTGATACCAATTGATAGAAACTAAGGGTCCACCAAACTATACAGAGAACCAGGTTCTCTATTATTTCCCACAGAACACACGCACATTGCAGTAAGTAAATGACACAATGGAGTTTACGTAGAAAACTCCCAGCTCACGGGATTAAAAACCACGACCTACCTTTGTAGGATCAACTTCACTAATAAGAAAAGCTCATATTACAACCTATTGTAACCTAGGAATTAACCTCTTAATCCCTCACTACTTATAACAACTCTATTACAAGCCCATTTGTAGTAACTCTATTACAAAGCTTACAACTCGACCAACTCTAGCCAAAACACAAATACAAGGTTTATGATTTTAGAAAAGGTTTCCTACACAATGCTTCTAACTAAGCTAAGTAGGAATTACAAGTAAATGTAACGACCCGGCCGGTCGTTTTAAGAATTTACGGCGCGATCCCCTATTAACTGCATTCCCCATGTTTGTTTCTGCTATTGTGATTGCCAGGAGGATTTGTTTGGTGTTTCGGAGAGTTTTGGGACACTTAGTCCCTAAATGAGAGCTTAAGCTTTAGAATTCGGACCGTAGTAGGAGCAGTGTGAAGACGGCCTCGGAATGGAATTCCGTTGGTTCCATTAGCTCCGTCAGGTGATTTCAGGCTTAGGGGCGTGTTCGGATTGTATTTTGGAGGTCCGTAGCTTAATTAGGCTTGAAATGCCGAAAGTCGAATATTTGGAGTTTCCGGTTCGATAGTGAGATTTTGATATCGGGGTCGGAATGGAATTCCAAAAATTGGAGTAGGTCTATAGTGTCATTTGTGACGTGTGTGCAAAATTTCAGGTCATTCGGAGTTGCATTGATAGGTTTCGGCATCGTTTGTGGAATTTGAAAGTTGCTAAGTTCTTAAGCTTGAATCCGAAATTGATTTGGTGTTTTGGTGTTGTTTTGAGTGATTCGAAGGCTCTACTAAGTTTTAAAGATGTTATGGGAGGTGTTGGTATGTTTGGGTTGAGGTCCCGAGGGCCTCGGGTGTGTTTCGGGTAAGTTTTGAACGAGTCCGGGCATTACTGGAACTCAGGCATTGGTTTTGGTGCTTAAATTTACAGCTGGAGTGGAAGTTTTACCGCTGGGGGCGGTGGTTTTACCGCTGGGGCGGAAAATGGTCCGCCGCTGCGGTCATGAAGAATCTGCAGGGCCGCTGGTCCAACTTCGAAAGCCTATATCTTTTGATATACAAGGAACTTTGAGATGATTCAAAAACAAAAGTTGTAGCCCTTCGTGTCTAGTGTCCGGAAAGGTGAAGAAATGATAATTTGGACATCTGTAGAGAAAGTTATGGCCAAAATAATAAAGCCTGTCTGTGCAGCCACCAGAAGCGCGGCAGCGGTAGTTTTACCGCGGCAGCGATGGTTTACCGCGGTCAGCAGTGACAGGAATCCAAGAGGTGCACTATAAATGCGAGATTTGGGGTTTTATTTTACATTTTGACCTAGAGAGCTCGGGCTTTCGCGATTTTTCGAGGGATTTTAAAGAAAACCATCGGGGTAAGTGATTCTAACTCAATTTTTGGCTAAAATACATGATTCTCACGTTGGATTCATCATTTGATTGGAGATTTGGGATGAAAATTTGGGAAAAATTATGGAACTTCATAAAATAAATTTTTTGGATTTGAAAGCCGATTCGGTGTCGGAATTGAGTGAAACTAGTATGGGAAGTCTCGTAATTGAATGGGTTGTCGAATTCTGAGACTTTGGTCGGATTCCGAGACGTGGGTCCGGAGGGCGTTTTGGCCATTTTTCCTAATTTTGCGTATTAGATTAGAACTTATTAGTTGAATTAGCTACTTGAAGTGTTATTTACATTATGCAATTACTTTGAATAGATTAGGGCCATTTGGAGTCGGACACTCGTGGCAAGAACGTGGTATTAGATTTGATTGAGCCGGTTCGAGGTAAGTGGTTTGTCTAACCTCGTGTGGGGGAAACTCCCCTTAGGATTTGATACTGTGATATTTGAAATGCCTTGCACGTGAGGTGACGAGCGCGTACTTGTGTTGGTCGTTGAAAATCCTGTTTTTCATTTAGTTACCTATATTTCTTATTTTACTTCACTGTTTACACTACTTGAACTTTGAGCTTACTGTTAGCTTAGGAAAGCATGCCTAAATGACTAAATTGCTTACTTGCTCAAACTGCCTTATCTGAACTCTATGCAGCATGCTAGGTTAGAATTACCTGTCTATTTTTATATTAAATTGGTTTGAGTTAATTATTCTTGTGTTGTTGCTGCGTGTTTACATTGTGATGTTTTAAACGTCAATACCACACAAGAGGGGGGGTGATTTGTGTGGTACCTAATTTTCGCGTTAGAAGAACCTGGTTCTTCGAAGTGCCCTAACTACAGCAGTTTGCGGAATAATAAATACTGAAAATAAAGTGCACAGAGATTTTTACGTGGAAAACACCTGGCTCAAAAGGTGAAAAAACCACGACCTACTACTCAGTAGGATTTTCCCAAACTCCACTAAAATCACTGAGCCAAAAACTGCATTTACAAAACTCTTTGTAAACCTAAGGATTAACTCTAAACCCAGTGTAGCACACAGCCTCAACTGTTGCGACACTTTCAAGTTAACTCTAACTTGAATACTCAATATACCTATTACAATTGCTTCTAGATAAAGCTAAAAGGTACAATATGAAAACCTACTACAATTGAACTAGACTTAGAATAAACACAATGATGAAACTGGTTCTTCTATCTTAGTTCATGTAGCTTCAGACGTGCACACTTGAATCTCGCATATGTTGCTTGCAAATCAGACTTGATCTTTTTTGCTCTCAAATATGCTTAACTTCTGCTTATGTGCATTCACCTGTAAAAGAGAACAATCGTTATATTTATAGAGTTAGTAATCAGAGTTTGATAAGAACTCGAATTGTGGATCCTTTGACAATTTGAGTCCAAGAACAACTCTAACTCCTAATCCATATTCTTGATCCGGATATAGTTCTCTTTTCATAAGGAGACTTCAACTCCTTATCCTATATGCAATCTTTTCGATCAGTTCAGAAGATATTCATCAAGATATTGCTGCTTGATCTCAAGGACTTATCTTCTTCACGTGCATCTCATGTGTATGGGCCATAACAACTGTGTCTCCTTAGATGAACCTGGTCCTATACTGAGTTCGTTTGTCATTCTTCAAAACTTCAACTGATCTTGGGCCAACAAATTCCCCCTTTTTGATGATGACAAACTCTGTGCTTTTACTGATTATAGAACCTGTGGAACTTAGCTAAAATATCATCACTTACTTATCATTAAGGGCCAGATTTAATAAGGTCATAAACATCACTGTTCAGAAAATAGACACAATTTCCTTTAAAGCACAATATCTTCCCCCTTTTGGCATCATCGAAAAGTTGCATAATTATGTGAATCCCAGAATATTAATCATTACTCATGGCCACTGGGGTAACTGCAAGTGAAAGCATGCTTTAGATAATCAAAAATCAACTTGACAAAAATAACTATTAAGAGCAGAATTAACAAAAAGCAAGAAAAGCTGCATTCATTGATTAGCAAGGTGTTTCTACAATGCAGTCCACAAGAAGAAAAAAAAATTACCAAACCATGAGCAAAAGAAAATAAACAACTAAAATCCCAAACTGGGTCACTGAGGGGGTCTACACTGGTGCACACTAGGACAGAATATCTAAGGCTTAGAAGAGCTGGAGGGTTGGGTTTGTAGCAGATTGAGCATCTGTTGAAGCATGCTCTCATTTTTCTCCTTCTCCTTAGCAAGTTCAGCTCTCAACCCATTCCTTTCTCCCTCCAATTCAGCAACTCTGGCCTGAAGCCTTGCTATCTCAGTGTCTTTTGCCCCAACCTCCTGAATTAAGGCTCTGACCTTACTATTCACAGGAGTTTTTACTGAAGAACCAGGTTCAACTGGAGCTGTACTGAGCATATAATCACAAGCTTGAAGGGTTTTGCTGCCAAAATGCTCTTTGCTCGAAGCCATTTCCCACTTTTTCAGGGGAACATTCAATCTTTCAAGTACAGTTGTCAAGATAAATCCATAGGGAATGGCATGAGCTTTTGAGCCATTGAGTACCCTTTCAAGCAGCTTTACAATAAAGGCAGGCCAGTTGATCTGCTTCCCTTCATTCAGGCATTGCATAAGAACCAGATCCATATAATTTGTTGTATGCCTTCTTTCCTGTCTGGGTAGAAGGCATTTGTTGACAAATTCAAAAAGCACTTTGTGGTCTGGCCTCATTTCACTTTTCTGAACTGCCCTGGCCTCAGGTACCTCTTCATCTGTTGTGGTGTCACAAAAGTTCCTTGTGATCTGAAGATCAGTAGGCAACCCATCCAGGCAAGGCCACCTCTGCCTTGTATAATCATCATATCCCTCACTAGGGATGTCTAGAATCTTGCCCAGCTTTGCAGCATTGAACTTTACTTTGACACCTTTCACTGTGCTAGTCACCAGCCCATTCTTCACTGTCCCATTTGCCATAAACTCTACAAGTTCATTCCTGGCCAATTTTCCATCCATATGAAGAACCATGTCCTTCCAGCCCTGTGCTTCTAGTGCAGTCAGAAGCCTTATCATACCTGGCTCCTCCAGGTCCTTGAGTAGTCTCCCTTTTAGAATTTTCCTCTTGCCAAACATGGCATATCTGTCATGTTCCTTCTCTGACTCATCTCCTTCATCCTCACTCCATTCATCATCTTCTTCAGCAATTTTCACTTGTTTTCCTTTTGCAGCTGACCTTGTTCTCTTGGCAAGGACAGGTTCAGCAGGTACTGGCTTGGAGGGCTTCTTGGCAGAAGTCCTGTTTCCCTTTGATTTGGTAGTGGGAACTTCCACAGTAGTACTCCTTTCTAGATGGACCTGTTCCATCTCTTCTTCTTCCTCTTCAACCTCAGCCTCCGAG